TATATCGATGCCTGACTCGTAGATGACGAGCGAGGGCTTATGGACAGTGCGTCGTCCTGAAGATTGAGCGAGGAAGTCGAGAATGACCACTACCCCAAGTGAAGAGAAGCAGAGACTTGAATGAATAACCAGGTCGAACTTAGGGTTCGACCGACTAATGGTACAACTACTTATACAAGTACCGACTGCGCACGGACCATCGTGTCTATGTGGTCGTGTTAGTGAAGAAAGAAACGTAGTGGTACGATACCAGGAACGAAGTGCGCACGGACCCCATTATGTAAGCTACATAATGTTCAACCTGCGGGTGAGCGCTAAGACAGGCGCCAGTATGGGCGCTAGTAGTACAAGGAATAGAACGGAAAGACAAATGTTTCATTACCCCCCTACCAGAGTCGAAGTCCCATTCGACTACTTACTGCTCACCATCTCCATACAACTCCCAATCTACGCCGTCGTCCTCCTCTTCGTCGAACCACTCCTTGCGCGCGTTCCTCCCTACGTTCATCCATTCTTCGCCAGAGAGGTGCTTCTGATGCGGCCAGGAGCTGTCCCACGTCCATTGAGTGGTGTCCGGTGTCCAGTCGGGATCGACTTTGCGAAAGACGACGGGTGTATCGGGGCGGGGGCGCGAAGGTCCTGCGACGGGACTGGTCGGGGGTTCGGGGTTAGCGCTGCGCGGTGGAGGAATAGGTACCGCTTTCGTCTGCCTTTCTTTCTCCTTCTTCTCCTTCGCCTCGTTGATGATTTCCTCGAGGAACACGTTGTCGACGACCACCCCCACGCGTCGCGCAGGTTCTTCAGGTGGTGCGGATACGTGTCGCTTCATCGGCTTGGTTCCGCACTCTCGCTCCAGGTGTCCAGGGGCTTCTTTTCCGCAGCCTGCGCATCGTACGTCCGGACAGTCCCGTACCCAGTGTCGAGACGATCCGCATCGCCTGCAGCTTCCCTTCGGGGTCCAACCAGGGTTGGGTTGCCAGTCAGCCGGGATGGTAGTGCTCCGCGGTGTTGCTTGGAGGAAAGGGGATGGGATCGGGGGTCGTCTGAAGGCAGACGTCGGTAGGGGTGCGGGTAGGGGTAAGTACGCGTTGGGGATGGCGCGTGGGATGAATTTGTTGTGTCGCGCCCGGATGTTGCGTGGTAGGAGCGGTTGAAAGCGATGGGCAACCTTCAGATTGTCGAGCCGGATGAGCTCAGTGAGGACGCGGTCGTCCTGTTGGCGTAGGAGCCGCTTGTGGTGGTCTATGGCCTCGTCGGCTGCCTTGACAGCCTCGTCGTATTCGCGGCGGGCGGAGAGATACGCTTCTAGTGCAGCGCGGTCGGTGGCATTGGTTGCCTCGGGGTTGTGGGCTTTGAGCTTGTTGAAAACGTCGGTGGGGTTACTGAGAAGGAGCGTCAGCAAGGTGCTGTTGCCGACGTGGGTGTGCTTAGGGGTGTAGATTGAGAGCCTTTTCCCGCCTTCGGTTGAGGGGGCGTTGAACTGGTCGAGGAACGAGAGGGTGGAAGACATTCTGGTGCGAGTGGGGATGTAGCGACTGGGTAGAGCTGCTATCGATTCAGCTCAAGTCCTTCCTGTTCTTATACTCTGCCAACACTTCGTCAGCCGTCCCAGTCAGGTTCGCTTCGGGCTCCCATGAGTCATCAGCAGTTGAGTAACCCTTCCACCTGACGCGATATTCGCGGCGCCGCATCCTCTTGTTCTCTCGGTGTCCGATAATGGCTTCGACTTCGTAGTTATCTTCGCCCTCGATAAGGTCAGGAGGTGGCCTCGTGTAGTTCGGACCATGGATCTCCGTTTCTGAATAAGGGGATAGAAGCCATTCGTGGAAGACGGGGTGGACTCGCCAGGTGCTAGGGAGGTCTAGCTTGTACGCGACCGTTCCAATCTTGTCTAGGACTTTAAACGGTCCTTCCCGCCTCGGGGCTAGTTTCCTGGATGGGTACGGCAGCTTCAAGTTCCGGGAATCTAGCCATACCAGCTGACCTTTACGGAAGGAACCCCCCTTCCTTTTTACTCTCTTGGCCAGGACGTTCTGGGCCATCTCCATTGCCGCATGTGCTTCTTCGCAGATGTTTTGCAAGTCCTTGAGGCGATAAGCTGCTTGGGGCGTGTTTGATCCGGGGTGCGCGGTGGGTATTCCACGAGGTTCGTATCCCATCATGAGTTTGAACGGGGATGCCTTCGTCGTGGAGTGCTCGCGGGAGTTGTGAGCAAATTGCGCAGTGTGAAGATGGTCAGCCCACTTATCCGGGTCATTGGCAGTGAAGCAGCGGAGGTAGATCTCCAGCTCTTGGTTTACTCGTTCTGTCTCGCCGTCGGTTTGCGGATGGAATGCTGTACTCATGGCTGATTGAACCCCAGTCATTTTGCAAAGTTCTTGGAAGACTTTGGACGCAAATTGCGGTCCTCGGTCACTGATGATCTTGTCTGGGAGTCCAAACCACTTGTAGACCTCTCGGTACATTGCGTCTGCCGTCCCAAGAGCATCAATTGTTTTGTTGCATGGGATGAAAATTACCCCCTTCGTAAGGTCGTGGTCCACTACGACCAGAATTGAATCGAAGCCGTTGGACGGTGGCAAGTCGGTGATGTAATCGCACGAGAATGTGCTGAAGGGCTTGGCATTTGCGC